GCACTCAGAGAACTATAAAGTTAAAGATGTGGAACACCTTTTGGTCCTATTCATGGATTAAGAAAGAACATGTTTGGGCAGGCATAGTGTGGCATACCTTTAATCCCAAAATTTGAGAGGCAGAGGCAGGGAATGTCAGAGTTCAAGGCCAATCTGTTCTATATATTGATTTCCTAGTCACTCAGGGCTACATAGTAAGACTGTTTCAAAAAAAAGAAAAGAAAAAACATGTTTGTATATTTGACTAGAAGAGATGTCCAAATATGAACACATGTGCAAATGCTTCCCCAATAAAATCTTTCCTTGTCAAAACACAAGGAACTCAGTAGTAGCAAACAGTGGGCCAGTCCTTTGAAAATTTTTCATATATTAATTTCCATAAATGTCAATAATGTGAAGGACTGAATACAAACTTTTGCTTGTTTTAGAAAATCCGATATCTGAAGAAAACTTTGTAAATATATTGTACTTATTGGAATTTATTAGCGAGTCTTGCCATGTAATCCAGTCTGGCCTTGATCCAATTATCTTCCTGTTTCAACCTCTAGAATGTTTGAGTGAAAGATGTCTGCTTCCACATCCAGCATTGGTAGTTTATTCCTAAAAGAACCTTTTTGGACTCCATGCTTCACATTTTTGCTCTAAAAAAAAAATCTCTTTTTAAAACTATATGTATATGCATGTTGTCTGTGAATTTGTGCACATTCATGTAGTGCCTGCAGAGACCAGAAGGAGATCAGATCCTCTGGGGCTAGAATTATAGGCAGCTGTAAGCTGCCTCATGTGGGTGCTCGGAACTGAATCCTGCCCTCTGCAAGACTATTACACACTCTTAACCACTGAACCATTTCTCCAGCCCCTAGAAAATTATCTTTAAACTGAGTATGTGAAGTGAAGGATTGCTTAAGTACAGGAGATGGAAACCAAAAAGGAAAAAAGAAAGAGAAAAGAAGAAGAAAAAGGTACACTATCATTACATTAATTTAGTAAGGTTTCTTAGAGCAATGCTGCATACAAGTTTAATGTGTGAAATCTTTTTGCATTAAATCAGGTAGTTTTTTTCCTTTTATTTTAATTTCTGTACATTCACTGATGAGTTTATAGTTATTTGTAATGCCAGAAGGCTCAAAAAAAAGGTCTTGTTTTCAAGCCCTTGAGATTATTGTACCATGGAAAAAATGACTTTTTGTGAATATTGAGATTTTTCCCTCTTAATTCCTATGTCAAGCTCTTACCATTTTTTTGTAGACTGTCATTCTCTTCCATGAACAGAGCTCACTTTTATATCATGTATTTTTGTTTGTTAACTTTCTCTCTTCTCTACCTGATGTTTTTTTCCCTAACATTTCTTGTCTCCTCGTCCTTTAAATTATTTTCAAACCACTTGTAGATTAACAAGTGTTAATTCTTAGTCTGCTTAGAAGGTAGGTATAAATGTCACTCTATAATCATAGATCACATCACATTTACAAGCTTTTCTAGTTTTTCATGTCACCAGCCACTTTTATTGCACATATATAACTAATGATTTTTTTTCTCATGTAAATGTTATTTTGATGTTTGTATTGTTGTACCATTGATTTTTATTGTAATTTCCCCTCCAGTCACTATACTAAGACAGATGTTGGCATTAGTGGCCTGTTGCCAAAGACTGTTGGTGCCATGTAATAAATTGTACTAAATCTGTTTGTGCACAGTAAGCCAGTATGTCTCATCAGTAAGAACATTCCATGGACATTCTGGCAGGATTGGTGTTTAACTTGAAGGAATTTATGGGGTTGCTTAGATATAGTTAGGTGCCTCTTTGTTGGATGTACTGAGATGTGAGTAGAATTCTCTATTTGGTAATCATAGGAGTTATTACTTGGAAGGCCTCAAATAATTACATGAAGAAAATTTTAATTCATGGAAATTACTACTCACATTAGTGAAGAGAGGGTGCTTGCCTCATTTTCACGATTCAGAATGTTTTATACTCTGTCAGTTTTACAGGCAACCTTACAGAGTGTCCTTTCCTTTTGTCATGGTTATAAAGGAGCAGTGCCCAGCGGTGTAAGCATGGGACACATGCCTTCAGAGCAGCAGATTTGGCTTTGTTTTGAACACCAGTGTTCTGGGCCAGTTTTTACTTTTCTGAGTTACTGTAGCAGCACTACAGTATTTCCTCCAATATACTGTTTACTGCTCTTCACAAATACAGATGTTCTTAATTACCCATTTGTTTATGTTCTGATAAACCCATAGGAAGGGGTAAATGTAGCAAGAAATTATACTCAACCTAGTGAATATTAAACCTTAGACTAGTCATTATCAGGACTCTTATTTAGGTCCAGATTGGGGGAAGTAATTTCTGCATATTGTTTCTTCTTTTAAATTAAAAAAGGTATGTATTATTATGCAAAGTAATGGGTTTTGTTATGATACTTTGATACATGTATACTATGTACTTTGATTCTTTTCATCCATTTTTTTTTTATCTCTTTCCCTCTTCCCTCTGCCCAGTGGTTCTCATTGCCTCCAAAATAGAATCTTTTTTTTTTTTTTTTTTTTTTTTTTTTTTGAGACAGGGTTTCTTTGTGTAGCTCTGGCTGTCTTGGAACCCACTCTATAGACCAGGCTGGCCTTGAACTCAGAGATCCGCCTGCCTCTGCCTTCCAAGTGCTGGGATCAAAGGTGTGTGCCACCATACCTGGCTCCAAATATACTTATAGTTTCATGTCTCTCTCTTGCTAAAATCTCTAGTCTGTATATGCTAAAACATACAAGCTGTTGGTTTGTGAAGTTCAAGGCCATTTGGTCTATAGAGTGAGTTCCAGGACAGCCAGTACCATGCAGAAAAACCCTCTCTTGAAAAACCAAAACAAAAAACAAAATAAGAATTGAAAACAATTTAAGGAAGGAAGTCTGTGTTTTCCATCAAGATTTAAGAAGGCATGTAGTCCCTCAAGGGAAAGCATGGTGAGAGGAGCCTTAGCTGTGTGACTAGAAACAAGACAACTAGCTGACCATATTGCCTCTATAGTCAGATTGGTGCTCATCTCATGACCCCACCCTCCACCCCTTCATTCAGTCCTGAATCCCAGAGCTTGAAATGGTGCCACTTACATTCAGGATGGGTCTCCCTGAAAACACCCTTCATAGACAAAGAGGTATGTTTCCATGGTGAGTCTGTATGCACTCAAACTAACTAATGAAGATTCACTATCCCCAGAGGTGATATGGATGAGGAGGTACCAGAGGTGTGCCAGAAGATCGGCACTCATCTGTTTATTTCTGGCCCCAAACTCCTTACGTCATCCACTATTGATAGAAAAGGGACTTCAGGATCTAATGGCCTGGTGGCTGTCCTGCCCCACCCCAGCAGGCTCCCCTCTCCTCTCACCTGGCTTGCTTCACGAGGCTCTTGCCTGTCTCCTGCTTCTGCACTGGCCTTGAACAATGCCTTCATCTCCCAGACTGCCTTTAAACCTGATCTCCTTGCTTCAAGAATTCTGTTATGGGTGCTGGAGAGATGGCTCAGTGGTTAAGAGCACTGGCTGTTCTTCCAGGGCTCCTGAGTTCAATTCCCAGCAACCATATGGTGGCTCACGACCATCTGTAATGAGATTTGGTGCCCTCTTCTGGCATGCAGTCATACATGTAGGCAGAACACTGTATACATAATAAATAAATAAATCTTTTAAAACAAAAAAGTTCTGTTACACAGACAGAGTGGGTTTCTTACACCGGTGGCTCCGATATCTACACACCCCTCTGCTACACCTTCCAGGCAGGACCTGCTGTTTGTCAGGAAGCCTCATCCTGGAACTGCTACATGGAGTTTTCCAGGTGTGTCTTCAGGGTCCTAGAGCTACCTGGAGACCCGCCATCCCTGGTGCTTCCTAGTGACACTATCTGGAGCCTTAAGAGTGACTGTAGAAATGATTGAGAAACCAGGAGTGCAGGCAAGAGGATTAAGACAGCCAGAGGTTCAAGGACATCATCCACTACAAAGCAAGCTCTATCTGAAACCCAAGTGACTGTGGTGGTGGGGGTGGATTCAAGAGATGCTTTCAAAGGGGCAAGCAGAATATGTAAATCCCCAGGTGGAGACCTGACAACCACCAGCTGGGGAAAAGGAAAACTAGAAGCTGAGCAGAATGGAGAGTTTTGTCCTTTTCCATGCTGGCGTGCTTACCTAGAAACAGCTGCAATCTTTGCATTGCCAAAGAATAGGCTTCTGCCCCATTTGAAAATCCAAATGAAGTGTCTTAGAGATTTCTCTATTTCACACGTGAGCACAGAAGTAGGATGGAGGAGCAGCCTAGCATTTAAGGGATTTTGAGTTGACATCCTTGTCTCATGACGCTATGGATGTTGACGTGAAGCATGTCGATAAGCGAGTGGGCCGAGGAGTGAAGCCCCTCACTCGACAGTGGGGGCACATTGTGACCCTTCAGTGGGGTGGCCATGAAGTGTCCTTTGGTATGTTACTCAGCTACCTCTTAGAAGCACTCAACTTCCAGCTGGTCAGAATTGCTCCCCAAGAAGTGCTGATTGTGAGGAGCTGCAGAGAGTGAGGAGGAAAATGAAGCGGGAGGCCAGAGACAGGAGGAGCTTCTGGCCCCGCTGAGGCGGTAACCGGCTTAGAGGTGGTGGTTTGTGGATAGTATTTTTATCCTGCAAAGTCGCAGGGGTCTTCCTGTATGCGTGAAGAAAAATCTGTGAAGATCAGACTTAAAGTAAAACCCTTTTGGGATAGGTAGTTCCTTGGATAAAAGGTTTCTGTGAGTGACCATTTAGGTGAAAACCTTAAGGTGACCTACAGAGTAATGTCCCTTTGGCAAATTTGAAGGTTTGGGGAGTCACAGTTTCAAGTCTGGGCTTGTGCATAGCAGAGGATTGCATGCTTCCACCCCTCAACCCCCAACCCCCAACCCCTAACCCACCCACCCCACCCCCCGCCCACTCCCATTGACCACTTTCCAGTGATCTGCTCCCGGGCTCAATTTCAGTGTTAAGTCTGGCTCTTGAACTTGAGAATGTGATCTTGAATTTCAACAGCCTGCTTATCTGAGTGTGTTCAAATGTTTCCTTTGTTTCCTCTTGATTCATTTTTTAATGTAGGCGCCTTATAATTCTGCCAATGGTAGACAGTGCTGACAGACCAGTAACACGCAGACTGCAGATGAACTTACAAAAAAAAGACAAAAGTAGAAAATGTTTGAAGTGTGCAATGCTGCAGCCACAGCAGCCTCCCTGATTTCATTGCATTTGTGAAGGAATGCACCCCCTAACCTGGAGAAAAAGGAGGAGGAGAAAAAGGGAAGAGAATAAGAGAAAGAAAAGGAAGAAAGGAAAAGAAGGAAGGGAGGGAGAGGGGAAGGAGGGAAGGAGGAAAGGAAGGGAAAAAGGAAGGAGGGAAGGAAGGAACCACCCACTTCATCTTTGGGCTGGGAAAAAGACTCATTGGTTAAGAACACTTTCTGCTCCTGCAGAGGACCAAAGTTCCGATCCCAGCACCCACATCAGGTTGCTCACAAACAACTGTAACCCCAGCTCCAGGGGATGTGATACCCCCTTTGGGCCTCTGCACAATCCTACACACGTGTGCACATACCCACATACAAAAACACACATACACTATATACATATGTAATTTTCTAGGCCTGGTGGTGAATGCCTTTAATCCCAGCATTGTGGAGGCACAGGTAAATGGATCTCTTAGAGGCCAGTCTACTCAGTTCAGGCCAGCAAGGGCTGTATAGTGAGACCCTGCCTCAAAAATATTTTATTTTTTCAGTTCAAAAGAAGGAAAGAAGCCACACTGGAATTTGAATGTTCTAGAAAGGTGATTACAGCTTCAGTGACTGGAGAGGTTAGAATGTTGCAGGTCCAAAGCTTAATTATAATTTCTCTTAGACTGTCATTAACCCTCTTACTAGCCATTTTTTGCCCACTTCTGGGTTGGGCCTAATATTCTTGTGGTTATCAGGTAATATCTTTTTAAGAATATTTTTTTTAAAGATTTATTTATTTATTATGTATACAGAAGAGGGTGCCAGATCTCATTACAGATGGTTGTGAGCCACCATATGGTTGCTGGGAATTGAACTCATGACCTCTGGAAGGGCAGTCAGGGCCCTTAACCTCTGAGCTATCTCTCCAGCCCCCTTTTAAGGATATTAATTTAGCCCACTACTTGCTTCTACCAACCAGAGGCTAACCATATGGTCAGGTGATCTGAGACATGTATTAGAAATGTTCCCATTTTCTGTAATCTATCTATCCAATGTCTCCACCAATATATTTCAAGTCTCTTGACTTTGTAGCTATAAAACACCACGATACTGTTACCACATTGAAACATACTGCTGGGGTAACATGAGTCTATTTTCAGGTCATGGTCACTCATACTTGGCTCCAGGATAAATGATCTCTTATCCCCTTTGAAGTGAGAGTCTTAATTTTTTTTCCCCTCACACATTGCTTTTTTGGGGGTGGAAGCCTTTTTTTGTCATTTGTTTTTTTGTTTTTCGAGACAGGGTTTCTCTGTGTAACATCCCTGGTTGTCCTGGAACTCAATCTGTAGACCAGGCTGGCCTCGAACTTGGAAATCTGCCTGTCTCTGCCTCCCAAGTGCTGGCTAGAAATCTTTTAATTATTTTACTTTATGTGCATTGGTGTTTTGTCTGGGTGCATATCTGTGTGAGGGTGTCAGATCCCCTGAAACTGGAGTTACAGACCGTTGTGAGCTGCCATGTGGGTGCTGGGAATTGAACTCAAGTCCTCTGGAAGTACAGCTAATGCTCTTAACTGCTGAGCCATTTCTCCAGCCCCTTTTTGTTATTTTTGTCTCTTCCCCCACCCCCAGCTGAAGACTGAACCCAGAGACTTGCGCTTACACTTGCTAGGCAAATGCTCTACCACTGAGCTAAATCTCCAACCCCAGTGAAGTCTTTTATAGCAATGGAGTGGGAATTTAGTCGTCTCACAAACCATTTATGTAAGTCCATATTGTTAGATATGACCAGATATCTCTCAGGTCCCACCCCTCTGCAGCTGCCTCTCTCTACCCTCAATGCTGATGCTGTAATTCTCATTGCTACTGAGGCTTGTTTGACAAGCACCCAACTGTGATTCTGTGATTCTCAGTCCCTCAAGGGAGTTGAGGGAAACTGATAAGTAGCCTGATGCGATTCTGTAATTCTCACTGTAAGGTTTTGATAGGATAGAGGACACTGGAAAAGTGATTGTTCCTTGAGACCACAAGATTTAGTGCCAGAGAGAGCATGATGTGGTCTGTCATTGTCTAATCCAGACACCTGGGAGTTTGACTACAAACCCAGCCTAGCTGTTGAACTATCCCTGTGGCAGCACCAGGTACCTCAGAATCAGCTCTGAGAAGCAGGTTATCCAAAATGGAGTTACTTTGTCTCTAAGACTTAGCACTTCCTTCCTCATACCTGGGTACCAGAGAACCAGTTAGAGTCACAGACATATTCTTGGTAGGGAGCCTGGCAGTATCTGGAATACTGCAGGAAAAGTAATCTGATTAGCCTCTAGCCAAAACCTAACACCCCTACAGCTCCTCAGGCAACCAGATCCTAAACCAAAAAGGATATACATTCCTTTGAATGACATGTCCCTTACTTCCCTCATATCCTCTAAGTCATGCATTAAGGAGACTTCTTCCTCCAAGTGCAACCTCTTCTTTCCCCAAAGTCTTAAAATAGGTATCTTTGCTCTTTCTGAATAGTCCCAAGTTATTTTCTTTCAGGTCCCACCATTCTGTTTGACATTAAATCTTGTGTCACTAACCTGGCAGAAATGAATATTTTCTAAAAAGATGCTTTAGTTTTAACAGTATTAAAACAATGAGCCCCAACCAGGTGGTGGTGCCGCATGCCTTTAATCTCAGCACCCGGGATTCGGGGCAGGTGGCTCTCTGACTTCAAAGCCAGCCTGCTCTCAAAAAAACCAACCAGCCAAACAAACAATAACAACAACAAAAAACCCAAGAAATTGGAATTTCTTCAGGAATCTCGTGTTGGGAGAAGAAAAGCCTGGGCCAACCAGAGGTGGAGCTTTTCTCTCCAAAAATACTTCTCTAAGAAAGAGATTGTTGTCCCCCTAGATATGATGACAGTTCAGTGATGGGTGGGATCACACTTCATCCTGGACTGCTTAATGTGTCCTGGCCCTCTACTTAAACTTCCATCTCACTGTAGTAATCCCAAGATGGACTGATGGGGGTCCCTGGATGTTTTTGGTCCTCTTCCCAACATGGCCATATTGCATAATTCTCCTTTTTCTGCTTTTTACTATTCATTTGCATGTTTTAAATGTCTTCACAAGGTTGGGTGGCTGAACCGGGCTTCAGGTAGAGACTGTGACCTCCAGTTTAGTGACAGCCACCAAGAGCAATCTGACTCGGTGTCCCTTTTGAATCTGATCCTTGCATATATCTGAGGGGGCGGGCAGAATTGTGTAACATCTGTTGTCTCTTGAGACTGGCCATTTGGAGTTAGGTAATATTGTGCTTGTAGAAGACAGCAAAAGTCATTGGGTCAGGATAGGCCCTTGGTCATTGTTAAAGTATGAGAACTTTCTCGAGTATGTCTGCCTTTTTCTGTCTATAAATTTCACTTTCTCTATGCTTTCAATAATTGTGTTCCTTTGTATATATGTTTTCTCTGTTACTGACTGAATATGGGTAGGTAGAGAAATCTGCTTCATTCCAAATTTCTGAAGTGTGATATATCAGTCTCTCTTTTATCCCAGTGAAACCTGGTCTGCCTTTTGTTTTCTATGATGTGGTGGGCTGTTGCCATAGACACTGAGTCTGGAATTCCCTGAGCACATCTGTAACCCCATTGGAAGGGGAGGAAGCAAGAGTTGCCCGCTGAGTAAGTGCCTAGTCAGGAAAGCGGGGACAGGCTCTGCTTACGCCCTTTTCCCCTAGTGGAGCCAGTGTGGACGCAGAGGAGTAAGCTGGGTTGTTTAGGCAGGCTCCTGCCTAGAATTCCTCATTTGTATCTTACTCTGCCACGTGGGTGTGCTCCTCCCGTCACTTAAGCTTTAAGAGGCGGGTTTGTGGCTTGATGGCCAACCAGGCAAGTTGTTTTGGGATGCATGTCCAATGAAAAATCCAGGCATTAGGAAGATGGCTGCAACGTATCACTGAGACATCGCTTTTTGTCCCTGCCATATTTGGGATCTGAGTTCCTCCGACTGTGGAGAGACTCTCCAGGTTTCTCCCGTCCCTTTCGGTCTCCCCTCCACTGACAGCAGGAACCCCAAGAGGATACCAGGACACCATGTCGCTGGAAATGGTTCGTTCAGCCGGGTGTGGGAGTGTGGTGCAGCTCTAGTCTGAGGATGAGTCTAGACTGGCTCTGATGAGCCTCGGAGCGGGGATCCTTCTGGGTGGAGCTGGGCCAGCAGCCAGAGCGACTGTCAAGTCCCTGCTGAGTCCTCAGTGCAGCGGATGCATCAGTGCCTCCGCTGACTGGGCGTGTCGTGTCCGCGGAGGTTGGTGGAGACCAGGTACACAGGTTGGGAGATCCAACACCAGAGGAGTAAAGGGGTGTGGGACCCCCGAGTCCTTGTGTGTGTTATGTCACAAACATACAGGGACGTGTTGTGTCTTTTTACACTGTCACGATTTATTAAATAGTCATTAAATGCTTTCTTCTTGCCTGCGGTTTTCCAAGTAAGCCTGGTTTTGCTTACTCTCAGACCGTGGGCAATCACAGCTCTTTTATTCCAATCTTAATCACTAATATTAAATCATACATTAACATTTCACACAAAAATAAACCAATGTGCAGGTTGTGGAATGGCTAAGTGTTAGAAAGGCTTGGGAGCCCAGAAAGCTTTCCTGAAGTCCAGGCTTTGAGCTAGTGCAGGGACAAAGAAAGGTCTGTTGGGGACCGAGTAAGTCTCATCAATCAACCGTACAGGAGAAATTGCGCTGAAACCCAGGACAAAGGCAGGGGTCCTTGCCTGTGGCTATTTCCCAGCTCTTGACAGCTGACCCTGTAATCATTGTCATGCTACATACACTCTGGTCTTGGGGTGCTCTCTCTATAACTCAGGTGAAGGGGTTGCTTATAGTGCCGTTGACAAGCATGTGCGTCTGGTGTTTTTAATAAAATTTGGTATGATTTCAGGGGCTGTTTATTGATGTAGTGAGTTTGTGTCTCCTGGTATGCTGGCAGATAGTGGCTGTTTGCCCTTTCTAGGGTCTTATGCTTAAAATTCGAGTCAATCAGGTCAAAACTGTTGCTTAATAAAATGGAACCATTCTAGGCTTGGCACAACCCAAAAGCTGATATTCCCTATAGCATGAATTAGCCACGAGCAGTCATCCTCTTTTTATCATCCCATGTCTCACCCATCTTAGTGGCATATCTGCATTCCCAAGGAGACTCTCATGTAGTTCTGGTCTCCTTCTGTTGCTGTAACAAAATACTCTGAAAGCAGGGAGGAAAGGGTAGATTTGATTAATACTTCTAGGTCACAGTCCATCACTGAAAGAATTCAGAGGAGAGACTCAAGCAAGAACTTGAAGCAGAAATCGTGGAGGAACACTACGTGCTGGCTGATTCATAAACTCATGCTTAACTAGCTTTCTTATACTCCCAGGACCACCAGCCTAGGGGAGGCGCCTTTCACTGTAAGCTGGACCGTAGGGGACCGTCGGGTGCTGGAACTATCCAGACAATCCTCCACAGACAGGCCCACATACTAATTTGATTCAGATATCTTCTCAGCTGAGATTCTCTTCTGGGATAACTGCTGACTGTGTCAAGCGGGCAGTTAAAGCTAATCAGAACAAAGCTTCGAGGCAAACCTTCCTCTAAGTTCCCGCTAAGGATTCTTAGGACTGATGGTGAATCCCAAGTCCTCTTGATGTTGTCAGGCTCATGGAAAGGAAGATCCACATGCATGGGGTCGATGGGGTTGGCCTCTATCATAATTGTTATTTGGTTTGTTTCTAAATATTGTTTTAAAATGGAAAGTCCTGATAGAAGTAAGCCATGACAGTACGTGAAAGAGGTATTGTGACAGGGAAATCCCTAAGTGCTGGGTCCGCAAGCTTCCCTACAGTTAGGCTAAAGAGAACTGTTCTTAAACAAGAGCAAACAAAACATAGAGTCTGATGTGCTAGGGGGTGCCACAGTTAGCTTGTAGATTAAAACAGTTTTCTCTGAGGTTATCCTGTCTTTTGGATTACTGTCAAAGACTGATATGAGCTGGCTCAGGCTAGCAGTGAGTCCATAATGACATGCCTACAGAAAGGAGACACACTTCAGGAAAATCTGCCTAAGTAAGCATTTTGTATGTCGTCCAGTTCAACTGTTAACTGTTAAGGCTAAATGTGGGAATTTGGAAAGCCTTATTCTGGGTTTCTCTGAGTAGCCAGTATTTATCTGTCCAGATAAATATATTATTTCCCAGAGCTAAGGATATCAATCAGGTTTGTTCTTGTATGGATAAACACTCCCTGCAATTTTTTTGACTGTATTTATTTATTTATTTAGTTAGTTAGTTTTATTTTTTAAGACAGGGTTTCTCTGTGTAGCCCTGGAACTCGCTCTGTAGATCAGGCTGGCCTCAAACTCACAGAGATCTGCTGCCTCTGCCTCCCGAGTGCTGGGATTAAAGGCGAGCGCCATCACTGGCCAGCAGCAGTCCCTTTTTGCTTTAACATTTTTTTTTCCAAAATTATATCGTCTTTAAAGACCTTTTTAAAAACTTGGTGATTTCTTTTTGTCTTTCAGAATTTAGAAAACATTTTTTCTTAGAAATATAACTTATTTTTAAAGATGTATTTTATTTTAAATTATTAGTGTAAGTGGGCACTTGTAAATGCAGGTGCCCATGGATTCCAGAAGAGGGCATTAGGACCCCTGGAGCTGAAGTTACAGGTGGTTGTTGTCGGAATACTGTTCTAGAATGGAGTCATGTGAAGAGATCTCTGAGTGTTTATGAGAAAACTCCAAGAAAACAAGTCTTGTGGCCTCGGTTTCTTCAAAACTGTTCTTCAAATGTGTTTTTGTGCCCTTCTCAGGTGTAGCGGATAGGAATGAGTTTACTTCAAATTATTCATTACTGTTATTCATTTATATGCCTCTATGGAAAAATACATTTTTGCCATGTGGGGCTGGTCTGCCACATGCCACTTGTCCTTGTGACTGTACACTTTACTCACGTGACTCCTCTTAACCCTCAGAGTAAAAATTGTCCGGTGCTATGAATAAAGTTGGCTATTGCGTGAGACTTTAGTCCCCCTCATACATGCGCTCCGTTCTCCCAGGTGCCGCCTCTAGAGCAGTGACTGTTGTGAGCCACCTGATGTCAGGGCTAGGAAACCAACTCAGGTTCTCCTAAGACCTGTGTTCTCAAATGCTGAGCCATTGTCCAGGCCTCACAACTTCATATTTTAATGAAAATCCTAGAAGCTCTATGTTATATGCCTCTAAAACATGTTAGTCATCCTTAGGATACATGATTATTTATTCATTTATTTTTTTCAACCAACTTTAATTAACCAACACGATAAAGATTTAAGTTATCCACCAGGCAATGGTGGCGCACGCCTTTAACCCCAGCACTTGGGAGGCAGAAGCAAGTGGATCTCTGTGAATTTGAGGCCAACCTGGTCTACAGAGCAAGTTCCAGGACAGCCGGGGCTACACAGAGAAACCCTTTCTCAAAAACAAAAAACAAAACCAAAAAAACAAAAAACAAAAAAAGATTTAAGTCCTCTTATAACAGGCAGTTTTGTTTTAAAACTCTAGCATCTCAGTCTTTTGGTATCCATTGCTTTTCTTTGAAAGTTAAAAGCACAGAGACAGCCTTTGTCTTAACACTAGCTGTCTTAGATTTTAGAGCTGCAGAGCATGAACCATTTCCACATGAGGCCTCGCCTGAGGACCAGTTAATTCATAGGGAACAATAAGAATCTTTTTTTAAGATTTATTTTTATTTTATGTGTATTGGTTTCTTGCCTGCATGTATGTATGTGCACCATATGTATGCCTGCTGCCCTTGGAAGTCAAAGGACAATGGATTCCCTTGGAAGTGGAGTTACATACAATTGAGATCTGCCATATGGGTGCTGGAAACCAAACCCCAGTCCTCTGGAAGAGCAGCCCAAGCTCCCACTGCCAAGCCTGATATCACTCCAGCCCCACCAATGAGAATCTTTGACCACCTTACAGACTAAGAACTGAGGTAATGACCACAGAAAAGAGACCAAACATATTGGTGCATACCTGTTTGCTCTGAACTTCTTCCTTTTGATAGAAACTCATGTCATCTCCCAGAAACTAGATTATTATCACCAGACCCCTTTATTTGTTCTCCCAGGCAGAGCCACGTTGATGTGTAGAGCTGCTGTTCTTTCACTCTCGTTACTGTGTCTCTAACTGGCATATTGGGACCCATGGCCAAGCTTAGTCTGTCATGATTTCCAGAATCAGCGTGCTGAGATTTAAAATTCTAACTACATTATGAACTAGGAAATATTTGGACTAATTTTTTTTTTTAAAGATTTATTTATTATGTATACAGTATTCTTCCTGCATGCATGAAGAGGGTGCCAAATCTCATTGCAGATGGTTGTGATCCACCATATGGTTGCTGGGAATTGAACTCAGGACCTCTGGAAGAGCAGCCAGTGCTCTTAACCTCTAAGCCACCACTCCAGCCCTATTTGGACTAATTTAACTTATTCATCTTATGAGCCATTCTGGTTTTGCACATACAATATAAAAAATGCAAGCATGTGTAGACAATATTTATATTCATATAGCCATACATAAAGATGGATTTAAATAGAAACATTTTGCTTCATTTATGTAGACCTATAATTTGTGGGTCCTAAGCTAGACTACTAATTTGAATTTTTTCAAAAACTATTTTATTATTTTATGTGTATAGATGTTTTGATGCATGTGTGTCTGTGCACATATATTATTCTTTTTGACAAGATGTCTTTTTCTGCTTGTTTGTTTTGTTTCTTCAAGACAAGGTTTCTCTGTGTAGCCCTGACTGTCCTGTCACTCTGTAGACTGGGCTGACCTCGAACCCGCAGAGATCTGCCTGCCTCTGCCTCCTGCATGCTGGGATTAAAGACTTGAGCCACCACCACCCGGCTCGATCCCTTAAGAAACATACTGTGTCTCATAAGCACTCTTGGCCTTCTCGGTGGTTGCTGAAGTTTCCTGCGCAACAACTAAACCTGAGCTGGGGTTCAGGCCTGTTTCCTGTTTGCTGCTCACTATACGGTGTCCCTCAAATCCTTCAACTGTGGCTGTTTCCTGATGCAAAGGCCAAGGATCCAACAATTGTTCAGTCCATGAGAGTGGATGTCAGCTGTCCTAATCCGGAGTTGGAGTCCCAGGGATGTCCTAGAGAGCTGCCAGTTTGGGGTCTACATTAGAATCCCAGTGGTGTAGGCTCTAACACCAGTGAAGGAGTGCCTTAGGAACAGGACAGGTGAGCTTCCAGTGAAAGTTGGGTAAGCAGGTAAAAAGCAAATGCTTTCCTCTTCCATGTCCATTTATGGGGACTGATGCCAGAAGGCATGGCTCAGATTTAAGGTGGGTCTTCCACCTCAAATAATCCAACCAAGGAAAGTCTTTCACTATTTGGTTTTCATTTAATTCTGGATGTAGTCAAGTTCACAACCAAGATTAGTCATCCTAAGTCCACCCCTTATCAATTTTAATCACAATCATCCCCTTATGACTGAATACATTAATAAAAGTAGGCAGGCAGTAGTGGTGCATACCTTTAATCCTAGCACTTAGGAGGCAGAGGCAGGTGGATCTCTGAGTTAGAGGACAACCTGTTCGACAGAGCAAGTTCCAGGACAGCCAAGACTACACAAAGAAATCCTGTCTCAAAAAACTATAAATAAATAAATAAATAAATAAATAAATAAATAAATAAATAAATAAATAAATAAATAAAATAATAAAAACAATAGCCAAGCCATAATTACAACTAACATGATATAAGTATCCCATATACAACCACAATACAATTACATATTTTAGAATAGGTAACAATATCTCTTGAAGGACATTCTTTAAGTGTCTTAAAACTTAAATATGATAACCACTGACATTATCTTGATGTTACATTACATAAAGTCATAGAGGAAAGACAACACAAATATCTGTTTAATGTATTCATATCTATGCATAACACATTGTTACCAAAATAGGACAGAAACACTCAAGTTTATTTTCATTCCTGTGAAGAGACATCATGATCAAGGAAACTTACAGAAGAGTTCCAGAGGGTGAGTCCGTGACCATCAGGATGGGGAACATGTCAGCAGGCAGGCAAGCATGGCGTTGGAGTGGTAGCTGAGAGCTTACATGTTGTAACAACAACCACAAGGAAGGAGGCCAACTGAAATGGCATGGGCTTTTGAAACCTCAAAGCCCACTCCGAGTGACCCACCGCCTCATATAAGGCCTCACCTTCTAATCCTTCCCAAACAGTTCCACCAAGTAGGGACCAAACATTCAAATATATGAGCCAAAGGGGCCATTCACATTCAAACTACCATACCTCCCCAAACCAGCTTTAAAGACCAAAGAACCACATAGTCCAGTTTACAACAGCAACAGCCACAGTTCTCAGTACCAGTTTTTGTCTTAGTTCATTTTCTTGTTACTGTCGTAAAATGCCCTTGAAAAAGCAAGTTAAGAAAAAAGTTTTTTTCTCTGGGTCCCAGGTCAAAAGTACAGTCCATCCTAGGGGGGCAGTCAAGAAGCACCTGGTCACATCATCTCCAACCGAGAAGCAGAGAGTGCTGAATTAATGCTAGTGCATATCAGGGATGCACACAGTTCATGAGTCCCTCCCTGGGGCGCAGTTCTGCCCATAACTAAGGTAGTTGTTCTCACATCAGTTAATCAAAATAACCTTTCACAGATCTCCTCAAAGGCTAACTTTAATATAGACGACTACTCTTAGGTATGCCCAGAGTTTTGTCTCCTAGATTATTCTAGACTAGGTTGTGACAATTAGCACTAACCACACTTCTTTTTTTTTTTCAATCCTCCATCACACTTCTTTTTTTATTTGTTTATTTGTTTTGTTTTTGTTTGTCAAGACAGAGTTTTCCTGTGTATTGCCCTGGCTGTCCTGGAACTTGCTCTACAGACCAGGCTGACCTCGAACTCAGAGATCCACCAACCTCTTCCTCCCAAGTGCTAGGATAAAAGGTGTGTACCACCATTGCCTGATACCATCACAATTTTAGTAGTTATAGAATTTCATGCGTGTCTATGAGGGGACACATGGTAGTAAGAGCTGTTTATTTTTTCATTGTTCATTGCATTCCCAAATAAAAATGATAATATTAATTTATTAGAAAATGAATTACCCTTAATCAGTCCTGTATAAGTTCTTGCATTGTATTGTGACAAAACTCCTGAGAAGGGAATTTAAGAGAGCAGCGGTTTATTCTAGATTTAGCTCAAGGTTGCAATCTATCATATTGGGGGAAGCTTGACAACAGGAGCTGGAGGCAGCTGCTCCCATTGAATCTGCAGTCAGAAAGCAGAAGGCAGTGAATTCCAGTGCTTAGTTACCTCTGTCCTCTGAATTCATTTTCCCACAGCCTAGTGAATGGTGCATCCCACAGACAGGGTAAGTCCTTCTGCCTAAAATGTGAAAGATAATCCCGGACATATATAGCAAGAGTCTTGTCTACTAGGTGATTTTTAGATTCTGTCAAGTTGAAAATCAATATGCACCATCAGATCTTTAAAAAAAAGTAAAAATGGTTATTTTGTTTTATTTTATGTATATGGTTGTTTTGCCTGAGTGTACATCCATGTAATGCATGTATGAGCCTGGTGCCTGCAGAGACCAGAAGAGAGGGTTTGATTCCCTGGAACTGAAGTTGCACAGTTGTGAGCTGCCTCATGAGTGTCAGAAATCAAATCCAGGTCCCCTGGAAGAGCAGCCAGTAATCTTAACTGCTGAACCATCTCTCTGGCCTTACATCACAAGTCTTATCAAATTATTATTTAAGAATACTCTATGAGAAAACAGGTACACACTTCTAAATGTTGTTTATAGTGAATCACAGAGGATATATTCAAGTCCCTAACAAGTTGTGAGAAGAGTGATTCAATACTATCCACTTGTCTTAGTCACTGTTCTATTTCTGTGAAGAGACACCATGACCATGGCAACTCTTATAAAAGAAAACTTTTTTTTCTTTATTAAGAAATTTTCTACTCACTCTACATACCACCCACAGATCCCGCCTCCTCCCTCCTCCTACCTCCCAGCCCTCCCCCCCAAGCCACCCCGCATCCCCACATCCCCCAAATCAAGGTCTCCCATGGGGAGTCAGCAGAGCCCGGCAAACTGAGCCTAGGCAGGTCCAAGCCCCTTCCGGAGGTCTGGGATTAAAGGTCACCCGGCAAAAGTGATTTTTACAAGGCTTTTTTTTTTGGTGGGGAGGAGGCTTTTCAAGACAGGGTTTTTCTGTGTAGCTTGGGAGTCTGTCCTGGAACTCACTTTGGAGACCAGGCTAGCCTCAAACTCACAGAGATCCACCTTGAATTTTCTTTGGGGCATTAGATAATTAGAATTTGTTATAAAAGTTGTCACAGTGACCCAGATGACAAAGAGAAATTAGCACAGCATATAAGGGGAAAGATGGTCCTGTTTGGCTGTTACTTTACCCAGCTGTTCCAATCTACTGCCAGAATTACTGTATTAGAGAATCTTGGTATGTATGAACAATAAGAGCGTGGTGACCAGCTGGGCAGTGGTGGTGCACGCTTTAATCCCAGCACTCGGGAGGCAGAGGCAGGCGGATCTTTGTGAGTTCGAGGCCAGCCTGGTCTACAGAGTGAGATCCAGGACGGGCACCAAAACTACAAAGAGAAACCCTGTCTCGAAAGAAAAAAAAAAAAAGAGTGTGGTGACCAAGACACTAAGACAGTTTGAACATATATGGAACACAGTGTCACAATAACTTCTTATGAAGTCTGCATAGCTGGTACTGTGAGGTTTATCCTTGTGGAAATATACGTGTGCTCTTTTAGGAGTCAGTGACCTTTGAGGATGTGGCTGTGCACTTCACCATGGAGGAGTGGATTATGCTGGATCTATCTCAAAAGGACCTCTACAAAGATGTGATGAAGGAAATATTGAGAAACATGGTGTCAATAGGTAAAGACATAATCATTCTCATAATAAGTCAATCAAACAAAAGTGCTTCTAGGGCTGGAGAGATGGCTCAGAGGTTAAGAACACTGGCTGTTCTTCCAGAGGTCCTGAGTTCAATTCCCAGCAACCACATGATGGCTCACAGCCATCTATAATGAGATCTGGTGCCCTCTCCTGACCTGCAGGCATACATGGAGGCAGAATGTTGTATACATAATAAGTAAATAAATCTTTAAAAAAAAAAAAAAAAAGAGGCCAGCCTGGTCTACAAAGCGAGATCCAGGAAAGACGCAAAGCTGCACAGAGAAACCCTGTCTCGAAAAACCAAAAAAAAAAAAAAAAAAAAAAAAAAAGTGCTTCTAGTTCATCATTGTTGCTGCATGTACTGAAATATGGCAAAGAAACATTTGGATATACTTACCTGACAGGGGAGACACCACAATCAGGAAGGTGGTCTTCCCAAAGTGAGACTCATCCATTCCACTTGTTATGTGCTACTCCTGTGCTTTCCCCAAATGCAGAAAACTTGACTGTATACTTTGTGGTAGTGGGAGACTGTTTCCTGAAAAAAGGGGGTAAAGAAAAGGGTAAATATGTGAGATGGGGTCACTTTATACCATGAATTTAGTTGGAATCTACTAATGTTTTTACTGTACTATCATGATCCATAATGATTTGTCTTGATCTGTATTTTAGGAAACATAAAGAAGCACCAAAAGATTGATAATGAATACCAAAATTCTGAGAGAAAGCTAAGGTAATCCAGTTTCCTCAAAGTTTATGGTGCCATGGGACATTTTACAAAAAGGTAAAAGATACAAATATATCAAACTTCAATCTGAGTTGATCTCAGGAAATTGTCTCCAAAACTGCCAGTATTTTCCACATCATCAGTAAGAACATCCCAGATATTCAAGCATTGGAAACAACTGGAGTATCATGATGCCAGTTGTGACACTTTATCATACTTTATATATACAAATTTTACAGCATATACATTATAGAAAATGAAATATCAGTTTATCTACAATCTTGGGTATCAGGTGCATATGAAACAAATAAGATTACTCTTTTAGACTAATTAATTATTGAGGTAACACATATAGGCAGGTGTGGGGCCACACCTTTAATCCCAGCACTTGGGAGGCAGAGGCAGGTGGATCTCTGATTTAGAGACCAGCCTGGTCTACTTAGTGAGTTTCAGGCCAGCCAGCACTTCAAAGTGAAATTCTATCTTAATAAATAAAATAAATAAATAAATGAAACAAAAAGATAACTCAATATAGACATTTGTCTTAGTTAGGGTTTCTATTGCTGTGAAGAGATACCATGACATTGGCAACTCTTATAAAGGAAAACATTTAATTGGTTCTGGCTTACGGGTTCAGAGGTTTAGTCCATTATCATCATGGTGGGAAGCTTGGTGGCATTCAGGCAGACAAGGTGCTGGAGGAGTAGCTGAGAGTTCTACATCTGGATTCACAAGCAACAGAAAGAGAGAGTGACACACTGGGCCTGGATTGAGCATCTGAAATCTCAAAACCCATCCCCAGTGACACACTTCCTCCAACATTGCCACACCTGCTCCAACAAGGCCACACCACATAATGGTACCACTCCCAGTGAACCAGTGGAGCCATTTTCATTTAAACTACCACAACATTCAAGTAGTTCAAAATGCAACATTATTTTCATTATCAGTATTGTGTATCAAATTGTGCACGATATTGAGTACTGAAATGTGTATTTAAATGTGAAATAAACATTTAATGTTTGTCAAGCATGGAAACAATATAACTTCTCATTGGTTTATTGTACTATTGCTTTTTATTATAGCTACCCTCAAATCATGCTGCATAGCATTCAGTCAAAATATGTTCAAGATTCTTACGGTACATAGAACCAGTATTCCTACTGGTAAATCATTAATATTCACACACTTTCATTTCTTACAGATGTCAACTGGTAGAGAAACTACACGACTGTAAAGAAGGTCATAAGTGTGCAGAAATCTTCAACTTCTCTACAGAAGGCACTGTGAACCATAAGTTTTATCCAGGAGTACACATATGTAAAAGAAATGGGTTTGTAAATGTAGTCATTGGCCATGTAGCTCTAAGTGTCCAGCTAAAATCTAGGCCAGGGCAGAAATCAAATGAAGTTCAGGAACGTGGAAAGGAGTTGGATAATAATAAGGAATCTGAGAACACCTCCAGCTCTCCCCCATCTTTTCAGAAGCATGAAAGTACTGACCCTGCTGAGAAATCTAATAAAAATAAGCAGTCTAATGAAGACTTAAACCTTGGTCAAAATCATGAAAGGACTACTGCTGAAGAAAAACACCATGAGTGTAAGCAGTGTGGGAAAACTTTTACTTCCCTTAGGTCCTTGAAGGGGCATGAACATCATTACCATGCAAAGAAATCCTTTGCATGTAAGCAGTGTGGGAAAGCCTTCCCTTTCCCCAGTTCCCTTCAAGTACATGAAAGGATCCACACTGGAGAGAAGCCCTATACGTGTAAGCAATGTGGGAAAACCTTTGCATATTCCAGTTCTCTTCTAAGACATGAAAAAATTCACACCGGCACAAGTTCCCATAAGTGTCAACTATGTGGGAAAACCTTTACTCGTTTGAATTCTCTTTTAAGGCATAAAATAATCCACACTGGCGAGAAGCCCTATGCATGTAATCAGTGTGGGAAAAGCTTTTCTCGTTCTGCTTCCCTTCAAAGACACACAAGAATCCACACTGGAGAGAAACCCTATGTATGTAAGCAATGTGGGAAAGGATTCATTACTTCTACTTATCTTCAAGTACATGAACGAACTCACACTGGGGAAAAACCTTATGTATGTAAGGAGTGTGGGAATGCCTTCATGCTTTGGACTCAATTTCAAAAACATAAAGTAACTCACAGTGGTGTGAATCCCTATGTTTGTAAGCAGTGTGGGAAAGCTTTCACTCGTCTCGGTTCCCTACAAATACATGAAAGAATTCACACTGGTGAGAAACCCTATGTGTGTAAGCAGTGTGCAAAAGCCTTCTTGTCTTTGAATCAGTTAAGAAGACATGAAGTAACCCACAGTGGTGTCAAACCCTATGAGTGCAAACAATGTGGGAAGGGATTTATCTCTTCTACAACCTTTCGAAGTCATGAAAAGATACACAGTGGAGATAACCCGTATGTGTGTTCACAGTGTGAGAAAGTTTTGAGTTCTGACAGTGCTTTGCGGAAACATAAAATGATCCACACCGGAGAGAAACCTTGTGTATGTAAGCAGTGCGGTAAAACATTTACTCATTTAAGTTCTCTTCAGTATCATGCACTGATGCACAGTGGAGAGAAACCCCATGAATGTAAGAAATGTGGGAAAGGCTTTAGGTCTCTTAGCCACCTTAAAAAGCATGAAAGAACTCAACACTGAATAGAAACCTTGTGCATGTAAACAATATGGGAAAGCCTTTGCTTATTCTCACTGGCATAATGTTTACACATTTTAAATGTCTGGGTTGCTTTTGCATAAGCAACCTCACTCTGAAGATAAGTGAAAGCCTTCTATCATACTGATTTCTTTCTTTTCCTACTGATTTCTAAAAAAAACAAAAACAAGAACAAAAACAAAACAAACTTGAAACAGCCACAATGGAGGGAAACATTTTTTTAAAAAAAAAATAACATGGAAATGGTTTTTGTACTAAAAGTTTTCTTCAAGTCCATGAACGAAGTCACACTAGAGAAAAGCCCTAGGAATGCAGGCGATGTTTAAATCTTTGTAGTCCCAGATCATGGAAAAGACATGCCACAGAGTATACTGCAGAAAACCCTGTGCATGTTTGCAATGTAGAAATGCTTCACTTCTTTCCTGCTTCCTCCAAATAAGTCAACTAGAGGGGACTAGAGAGATGGCTAAGCAGTTAAGAATGCTGGCTGGTCTTCCAGAGGACCTAGGTTCAATTCCCAGCACCCACATGGCAGCCTACAATTGTGTCTAATTCCAGTTCCAAGGGATCTAATGTCTCAGTGGCCCCTGTATGCTCATGGTACACAGACAAATTACTCATGCAGGTAAATTAGCCATATACATAACAATTTTTTAAAAAGTCACACTGGAGAGAAACCCTTTGTATGTAGGCAATATTGGAAAGCCTTCCATTACTACTGTTCCTTTCACAGACATGAAAGATCCTACCATAGAATAACCTTAAATACAGATTTTTTTAAAATTTAGACTTATTTATATTATTTCACATGTGTAAGTGTTTTGCCTGCGTGTATGAATGTGTGCCACATGTGTGCAGTGCCTGCACCACCATGAAGAGGGCCTTGGAACCTCTGGAACTGGAGTTACAGATGGTTGTGAGCAGTCGTGTAGGTGTTGGGAACTGAACACAAGTCCTTCATAAGCACAGTGAGAGCTCTTAACCACCGAGCCATCTCTCCAACCTAGGAGCTAATTCTAGACTTCTATTTCCAAAGTTTGCTTTACAAAATAAGCGTAAGCCGAGTACGTGAGATGAGATGACAGCTTATACCCCTGGAATGGAGACCAGTAAGACCCACATTTGAAAAACAAAACAGCTGTAGAAAGTATACTATCATGAAATCGTTTTGTAAGGTTTCTTAAAGCAGCAATCTATAGTTTAATGGGTGATGTCCTTTTGCATTAAATTGGGTACATGTTTCTACTTGCATTATAAATTGTGTAGATTCATGTGGTGGACTGACATTTACTTGTAACATGCCAATATGCATAAATGCTTTTTTTTTTCAAACAATTGTGATTAATTAAAAATGACTTTTTGAGAATATTGGAATATTTGCACCGCTTTCATATGCCTAGTTCTGGCCACTTTGTCTGTACTTTTATTCTTTTTCATGAGCAAAAAACATTTTGAAATGTATGTATGTATGTAAGACCATGTGCTGTATGTATATATGTTAGTGTGTGTGTGCACATGTGTGCACGTGTGTCCGTCTTCCTACTGAAGCCAGAGTGGTAATCTCAGTGGGTGACCTACTTTATCACTCTCTGACTTATTCTCTTGAGAAAGTGTCTCTTACTCAGCTACGAACTAATCTGGCAGCCCGCAAAATTCAGCCGTTCACCTCTCTCCACTCCCCATAGTGCTGGGTGTATGATCATGATTGAAGCCGCGATTGACGCCATTCCCAGCTTTAGACGAGTGTTAAGGATTCAAACTCAGGTCCTCAGCTTGCAAAGTGCTTTTACCCACTGGGCCATTGACTAAACCCTTTAAACCATATTTCTATTGATTTTGTATTGTTTCTGTTTTGCATATGTTTATATTTTTCTCTCTTTGCTGTTTATTTTCTAACATTACTTTCTTGCATGTCTGTGATGGTTGGTTTTAATGCCAACTTGCCACCAATTAGAAACACCTGTGGGTGGACCCTCACTGGAAGAACTGTTCTGATTTTCTTGATTGATGTGGGAAGACCCACCCCACTTGTAGGCTGCACTTGGGGGTCCAGATAAAAAGCGTGTGGCAGAAGGAAGAGCATCTCGCCTTCTGCTCACTTGTCTATTGCTCTTGCTACCTAGTTCATGTGCGCTGCTGCCATTGATGTTTACTTCATCGATACCAGACCTAGTGTTTCCAAACTAGTGTGCTAGGGAAACACAGGGCTTCAGGAAACTTCTAGGCTCCTTGTGTCAGACTGGGACTGCTGAAGCCTGTCCATCCACCCACTGACCCTCCACCCACTCACCCACCCACTCACCCACCCACCCACTTACTCACCCACTGACCCTCCACCCACCTACTCACCCACTCACTGACCCTCCACTCACTCACCCACCCACTCACCCACTCACTGACCCTCCACCCACTGACCCTCCACTCACTCACCCACCCACTCACCCACTCACTGACCCTCCACCCACCTACTCACCCACTCACTGACCCTCCACCCACTCACCCACTTACTCACCCACTGACCCTCCACTCACCCACTGACCCTCCGCCCACTGACCCTCCACTCACCCACTGACCCTCCGCCCACTGACCCTCCACTCACCCACTGACCCTCCGCCCATTGACCCTCCACTCACCCACTGACCCTCTGCCCACTCACCCACTCACTGACCCTCCACCCACTCACCCACCCTTTGACCCACCCACTCACCCATCCACTTACTCACCCACTGACCCTCCACCCACTGACCCTCCACCCACTCACCCACCCTCTGTCCCTCCGCCCACTCACCCACCCTCTGTCCCTCCACCCACTCACCCACCCTTTGACCCACCCACTCACCCACCCACTTAGTCACCCACTGACCCTCTACTCACTCACCCACCCATCGTCCCTAAGTGCTGAGGCTCCAGCCTTAAGGACCTAGGAATGACCAAGTTTTCAGCTCTCCAATAAGTCTGCTTTTGTCAGTACTTTAAAGCTGACTCAATTCCATTTCTCTAGAGATATAGTGTCCTTTTAAGGTTGAACTATTTTAAAATTGCTCTGAAAACCTTTTTTTTTTTTAACTACTAAACAAGATACATATATTTTAATTATAGATCAGGTCATGTTTACAAGTTTATTAAGTTTGTGTTGTATGGCACATGAAGGCCTCCTTCATCTCACAGAGATCCACCTGTCTGCTTCCTGAATGCTGGGATTAAAGGCATGAGCCACCACAACCAGCCCAATGGGTTGTTTTTATCAATGGGATGTGGAGGTAGACTCCTGATTGCCAAAGCTTTGCTCATTGCTGGAAGGAAGCACAATGTGGAGGACAAACTTTGGCTTGAGGATACTGGATAAGGTTGAAAGTGATGAGTATCCATGTACTAGGCTTTTTCTTTTGGGCCACCAACCAGCTCCCAAATCATGACACAGAGACTTATTACTAGTTTTGAATGCTTGCCCTAGCTTAGGCACATTTCTTTTAACTGAAGTTTAACCTTTTTCTCTTCATCTACCTTATTAACTTTCTTACTTCTGTATAGCTTACTTTCACTGCTTCGCTCTGTCGTGTCTGTCTGGTGTCTTCCTGGCTTCTGGCCCCGGGCATCTCCCTTCTTCTCTCCTTCTTCCTCTCATTCTTGCTTCTTCTCTCAAGCCTAGATTTCTCCTCCTCTTTATTCTCTCTGGAGTCATTACCACATCAAGCCACTCACCTCATTATTGGATACTGGTATCTTGTGGATATCTGTTTATGCTGCAGAATATTACTTTAACTGTGTAAAGGTGGCACTTTTGTTTATGTTACATTTATTTAATTATGTAAAGATGTGTTGCATTTGTTTCACCTTGCCTGCCTAAGGCACCTGATTTGTTTAATAAAGAGCCAAATGGCCAATAGCTAGGCAGGAGGAAGGATAGATGGAGCTGGAAGACAGAGAGAATAAAGAGAAGGTTTTAGTGTTATGTATTGCTTTAGTCACTGGTCTAGTGCTGTGAAGAGACCCTATGACCAAGGCAATTCTTATAAAAGAAAGCATTTAATTACAGGCTTTCAGAGGTTACTCCATTATCGGCACGGCAGGGAGCATGCAGCATGCAGGCAGACCTGGTGAGAGTTTGGATATTCTGATCTGTAGGCAGAGAGAGAGACTCTGGGCTTGGCATGGCGTTTTGAAACCTCAAAGCCCACTCTTAGTGACACGCTTCCTCAAACAAGGCCATGCTGCTTCATTCTTCGAATCCTTTCAAATGGTGCCACTCCCTGGTGACTAAGCATTCAAATACGGGATCCTGTGGGGGCCATTCTTTTCAAAGCACCACATGTATTAAACATAGGAGACCAAAAGTGAACGTTTCACACACATTGTTTTTCTGTCACCCAGTGTCTGCTCTGTTTTCACACCTAACACTAGAATTCCACTTTTGCCGACAAGTTGGTATCTCACAATTCCACAGAAACATGACACTACTTGTATGTAGTTCTGACCCCAGAGGCTTGAGTTCCAGTCTGCCAAGGCAACCCTCATTTCAGATGCCAGCAGAACTCCTCTGTGTCCATCGAACACTGTTCAAGCCACTGATCCACACTGGGTTTGTGGAGGGTTAGTAACCAAAAGAGGCTTTAGTGCAGCAGTTCAGCTTGTGGGTCCTGACCCCTTTTGGGGGTCAAATGACCTTTCCACAGGGTTGCATATCAGATATCCCACATATCAGATATTTGCATTATGATTCATAACAGTAACAAAATTACAGTTATGAAGTAGCAACAAAAATAGTTTTATGGTTGGGGGTCACCACAACATGAGGAACTGTATTAAAGGGTCACAGCATTAGGAAGGTTGAGAACCACTGCTCTAGTAGCTTTGGAGGAGGGAGGAGGGGGTGGTTAACACAGCAGAATGAGGAGAGGTTGGTGACCCTGCTTGGGGGTCACGAGGTGCTCCATAGTAGGAGACAGGTGCTAGAGTCAATAATTGTGTGGTTGTTTCCTGGGAAGACATTACAAACTTCCATTCAAACCAGATAGGGCATAGAGAGGAAACCAAACCAACCCCAGCCAAGTCTACCTCGGTGAACCCATGAGCTTTCTGTGGTGATTTACAGGAGCATTGGGGGATGCAAATTCATCTGCATCACTGCAAAGCCCACCCCAGCAGAGATGAGGGTTCCGGAGAGGTGCATCCTGCTGTCCTCACACAACTTGCAGGCTTCTCAGAGCCAGAACCTTCTTTCCCTAACAATGGCTTCTTGTGCACTCTGTAACTTTCTGACCTTCCTGGGCCTTGTTAAGTTTCATGAGAATGAGTCTCATGAGTCTCCATCCCCTGCCCAGGGAAAGAGATTTCAGTTTGCAGGAAACAGCCATGGGAGGCTCCAGGCCTCTTACGTGCTCACTGCTTGTTTGTTGTTTCAAGACAGGGTCTCACTATGTAGCCCTGACTGTCCTGGAACTCACTGTGTAGACCAGGCTGGCCTGAAACTCACAGAGATCCACCTGCCTCTGTCCCCCACCCCCCCAGTGCTGGAATTAAAGGTGTGTGCCACGACACCTAGCTGTGCTCCTGCACTTCTGCTCCTCCTCATGTGATGTCACTGATTGGAGGTAATGTTGGAGGTGGGGACACAGATGTCTGATTATTTTCCTTCATGTAGGCTGATAATTGGGGTACAGCTGATAACCAGGATACTAGGCCACAACAGTGACTTCTTAAGAGCTTGACCAGTAATGAATCTCGGTAGTAACTTCTCATTACAAAGAAGTTTCCCTGCACGAAAGAGGTAGAAAATTGGTATCTTTTTTTTAAATATAAACACCAATTTGTGGTCAGCATTTTGACAGGCATTTCACATTTTTACAAAATGGTAGCCATTGCTTCCTCACTGGAACCTATCACCATGGGCTCTTGCCACAACTACAGTACCGTGAGTTCTTTCCTATAGATGGAGATCTAAATGCAGTTTGTTCCATTGGTAACAACCATGCCACTGCTGTTTTACTGGGGACAGCTTGCCTGGCACGTTGGTGTTATAGCACACATGGCAGATACTGAGGGGCACTGTTGCCAACAATTCTTTCCCATAGAGCACATGGCACCTTTCTGCACTATGTGGGCCTGTCAGCAAGGAGGCAGATTTCCAGCTCCTTCTCAGCTCAGCTTCCCGTGCGCTACAGCTGAGTGTGTTGTCGTTAGCAACAGGGTCTTGGTCATAGAATTTTGGGAGTGCAAACAGCACCATTGACAATAACCGCATATTCTGGCCTTGCTAGCTGACAACTTCTAAAGAAGTCTCTCATCACTGGCCCTGTGACTTTCATTCAACAATTTTATGGCTTTTGGACAGTGCCACCACAGTTACCCACACACCACTCCCACCTCCA